TATATATATATATATATATATATAGGAATAATAAAGACAAAGAAAAACCGAGCTCATCTTTTGTCTTGTGATGGACTTTATCAAGGAAAATGTAAGAATTTTATTTGGCAACAAGTATTTTCTAAATAAATGTAAAAATGTTGTTTGTTTGACAATATCTTTAAATTTAAGAACACTCATGAATATCTTTGAGGTAAATTAGGGAAGAAGCTCTGGCCTTCTTCAGGTGATTGGAATTTCAAACTGAATCCTTTATTTCATCCACCAGAGTAGATTGTTCTAGTTCCAAAAGCCATACCTCCTCCAGATATCTCAGCTATCTCCCTTTAACTTAACTCTCCAAGTTTTTTGTTCACCACTGATGTAGCCAGGTATTGAACTCACAACTCTTTGGGTCAAGTAACTGGATCCAACCAGCACTTTTATCCATGTGTCCTTGAGGACATCAGTGTCAGAGTTTTTGGGATTAATGTCTCAGTAAACATCTTTTTTTCATTTTACCAGAGCTCATATTGCAATTTTGTTGTTGTTATTGCTTTTCTCTAGCACTCCATATTCATTTCTATGCTTGGCTTGCTGCACGAACATCAAAGCTGTAACACGAGAGAAAGAGCAATCAGGCATAGCTGATGGCATATGGAGGGAAAAGGGAGATCACCAATCCCTGTGGGATGAGGTTGAAATAATAGAGAACATAACTGAAAAATAAGGAATCAGAACATATGCTAGGCCACAAAAATCTCCTAAGCTGGCCAAGCATAGAAATGAATACAATATGGGAATCTTACTTATTATAAAACACAGATTGTGTGTGTGTGTGTGTGTGTGTGTCTGTATGTTTATATATTGGATCGGATTTCCTACATTTTTCAACCGATTTCAACAAAAATTCACAGGATTGCATAAAATTACCTTGCAGTGTTTCTGACAGCACCAAAAATTGGAAAAACAATTGTTTTTGCACAAAATCAATTTGAAAACACGATAAAACACAATTCTGTCGCCAGAATGAAAAGGGGACAACTCATATCAAGTTATACTTATAAAACCCAGGTTGTTTGTGTGTGTGTGTTCATTTATATATGGGATCGGATTTCCTACATTTTTCAACCGATTTCAACAAAACTTCACTTTTTTTGGTAGGTAGTGTTTCTTATTGTCTTGCACACTTTTTTCTTTATTTTTACATTCAGAATGCTTTAAAAATTCCATTTACAAGACAATTGTTTATAATAAAATTCTATTCAATCAATAGACTCATAACGATTGAAAACAATGTTTTTGTTTCAGTTTGGGTTTGACTAATTTGTAAAAAAAAAAAAAAAAAAAAAAAAAAAAAACTAATTAAGACATGCGTGTCCATCAACCTTCAACAATAATCTTTGTCAATTTTATTTTTCAGTCTTTATGATGGTCAATACTCAATCTATCTCTTACTCAACTGTTACATCCCCAGACAACACCAGGCTCTACTGCTAGTCAATAATACAGAGTGCCAGAGAAAAGCAATAATAACAAAATTGCAATATGAGCTCTGGTAAAAAAATGTAAACTGAGACATTAAGTTTTATAAGTCCCAAAAATTCATCCACTGATGTCCTCAAGGACACATGGATAAAAGTGGATAAAACTGTTGGTTGGATCCAGTGACTAAACCCAAAGAGTTGTGAGTTCAATACCAAAACTTGGAGAGTTGAGTTAAACGGAAATAACTGAGACATCAGGAAGAGGCATGGCACGTGGAACTAGAATAATCTACCCCATTGGATGAAATAAAAGATCCAGTTTGAAATTCCAATCACCTGAAGAAGGCCAGAGCATACAACAGCTGAAACATAGTGAACATGACAATAAAGATGACGGCAACAGTCCAAACAAATTTTCCTGTTTTCCCCTTTTTTCTTTTTCTTTTTTTAACTTTCGAACCGGGATTTCTTACTAAACTATCAAATAAGGAGAATCATTGGGATAAAATGGGGGGGGGGTAGAAATAGAAAAAATTTAAAAACGAAAAGAACAAAAAAAAAATGAAAATGAAAATGGGTTTCTGCTAGAGCGAATACTGTCCTCACATTGGCCAGCAAGCAAGTGGTTGTCTGCTTTATAGTCTTGAAGGTGACTGAAGATTTCGGCTTACCTTATGTCCAAGAGTCGACCTGGTTGGGAGTGGGGGAGGAATCAACGGCCAATCCTCGGCCCACACCAACTGGTGGGCTTGGGAGGTATGCTTTCAATAACATTTAGAAAGAGGAGATGGAGAGGCTAGTCAATTCCAATTTCAGACATTATATCAAGCAAAAAAGATACTGTCACAACATCGTTAGAATACTCACAAGACACCCTCACATCTAGTCAAAGACCTTCAATTTTCCATTTTTCCCCCTTTTTTTTTTTTCTTTCTTTAACTTTCGAACCGGGATTTCTTACTAAACTATCAAATAAGGCGAATCATTGGGACAAAATGCCTTTGGAGGGGGGGGAGAAATAGAAAAATTTAAAAACGAAAAGAACAAAAAAAAAAAAAAATGAAAAAATGTAAATGGGTTTCTGCATATAAAAGAATACTGTACTCATATAGGCCAGCAAGCAAGTGGTTGTCTGCTTTATCGTCTTGAAGGTGACTGAATATTAAGACCCTTTTTGTGTTCATAGATAAATTTTTTTCTAATTTCTGCAAGTTTACCCAATATATTGTAAGGAACAGCTGTGACAGATTATCTTTTATATCTCCCTACTTCAAAAATTATTATTATATATATATATATATATATATATATATATATATATATATATATATATATTAGCGCTTAGCCTTGGAGCGGGTAGAATGGAGATCAATATGTTTTAGTGAACTCAGCAGTTTTCAATCTGCTTGTCTGAATCATCTTCAAAAACTGAGAGCAAGATCTAAAAGATCAGCCAATCTAACAGTGATCTCATCCCACAATCCTCACTCTTGCTCCATATGCAGCCTACTTTGTAAATCACTAGCGGGTAAGTGCCACTTAAGATTATCGCACAAAACTAAGCTGTCAGATCCTTATACATCGAAACCAATGGGATAGTCCATTATTAGTATTATATATATATATATATATATATATTTGATTTCTAACCTGTAGTCGATATTAATTTGTCAAATTTTCTCAATTACAAAGCGGCCCTTTAAGTAAACACAATTTTATTTTCCTTCGTCCCATCTCTCTCCCCAACCTCTTCTCTTTCTTTTTCCCCCCTACCTCCTATCCTAAGTTCTAATTGTCTATGGTGTGTGTATGTCACCACGAAATGTATCTTTATGCATTAGACATCCGTGACTTTCTTTCTCTCCTCTTTTAATTCCCCCCACACATCTCCTAAAATTCTCTCTGTTAAGGTTTCATCTCCTCCTCCTCATACTTACACTTTCTCTAAATTCTGTTTTGATTTCCGGAGTTATTTTTTTCTGTTTTCATTTTGAATTTGTAGGTCTGATGATTTTGGATCATATTTCGATTCCAATGGAATATTAGTGTTTAAGCCTTTTATATATATATATATATATATATATATATATATATATATCTTGTGAGATAAAGGTAGCAATGTGTTTAGTGATTAGACTAGATTGACCTCTCCAGATTGCAGGAGTGGGCAATGTTATGTGGAGGCCATGCACTGTTCAGATTATATGGTCTGTCTTTTGGATGTACCATCAAGATCCAAAGGAATACAAAGTTGATGGCTTGGCAGCAAGAGTTACCAAAAAATTATCAGTGTTGACAGCTAACTGGTTTTCAGGGCTCCACTTTCAGTTTTCTGTCAGGATTTACTTCCATAACCTTTTCAGTGTTTCGATATGACCACAAAAACAGTGGAGGTTTTAAATTAGAGTTTTCCTTTCCCTAGATGGACTGCCGTTTTCTGTGCTGCTGAGCTCCATCTACCCAAAGGAGCTAGTTATATAAGGTGCCAGTTGTCCACCTTCACCCATTCTCCAGCTTGGAGGTGGACTTTGTTGTCAGAAGGCATTTGAGATACATGCCATGGAAGCATTTCCCCAATATTACTCTGCAGCTATGACAATCTTTGGAGCATATATAATGTATGTATATAAACATATGTGTTACATGTTCCAGAAGCTGTTATGGTGACCTATCTACATTAGAATGAACTCTTCCTCCTTCATAAATACTAACCTGCAAGACTTCCTAAGGGAGGCAATTGGGACGCAGTATAACCTGATAATTCGGATGGACACTTCTATCTGCTGACTAATAACACTCTTATTTTGTATATATGTTCTGTTATTTCAATACACTTATTCAAACTGTCTTCTTCTGTGTCTTTCTTTCTGGCCCATAACAGGCCACAACAGAAGCAAAAAAAAAAAAAAAAAAAAAAAAATATATATATATTTACTAGCTTCAAAATTATTATTGCTGTTTGTGTGAGGGTGTGTGTTTAGAGATAGTGATCATTTGTTTAATATCCATTTTTTTTTTTTTTTTTTTGTGTAGAATTCTCATGTGTCTGGACAAGTAGAGATTTAAAATTTCTGCATATTTGTCAGGATCATTTCCTTAATTGAAAGCTGAATGAAAATAGAACGTTTGAATGACTTACATTTAGATTTCTGAATTAACTCTAAATGAGAAAAACACAATTATTGAATTGTAAGAACTAATTTTGCTAATAAATACCACTTACATGTTATGTTTTCCGTTTATCAAAAACAAAACTGAAAACACGAAGGAGGAAATCAAAAAATGATAGACATGGAAAAAATGTAATCTTGTCATTTTTTTTTTTTTAGATAAGGACTTTATAATCATTTGATTGTGAACAGTTGCAATGCACTAATATTTTTTATATAGAAAATGAAAAAATATATCACAGTATAAGATGAAATTTAAAGTTTGATAAAAATAATTACTCTGAGTATTATAATTAATAAGGACACTTCCATGTAAAATTAGTCAAAGTGATTTAACCAAGTTATTTAAGTAAAAATGGTCTACAGCCACATCATATTGAAACACCAGTTCCCATACAAACACTGAAGTTAAGCAACATCATGCCTTGTCAGTACTTAGACAGGTGATTGCTTGGGAATATCAGGAGCTGTAAGCTTGGATGTGCAGGTGGTTTAATGGATAATGCCTTGGAATTGTTAATCAGAGAGCCAAGTTCCAATTCCAGTTATGTTCATTATAATCACATGGGCAAATACTCTTAAGGAGAGACATGAATCTATCACTTCCCTCCTAGTTATGCGTTAATTAGTAAGAGTTTTATCACTAAATCATTATTATCTAAAAAAAAAAAAAAAAAAAAAATACTGTAATCTAAAAGTGTTTTCTGCCTTTAAATAACCTACAAAGAGTTGATAAGCTGTAAAAAAATCAAATCAAAATTTAATTAATTTGTTTTTATAATTATTCCTTTGTAAAACTTTAATATTTAATTTTTTTAAATTATTTTTTTTACTTTTAATAAAATGAATAAATGATTAAAATTTGAATGGATCAAAATAGATATTTATTTCTGAGACTGTTTATTCAAGTTTTTTTTCATGCAACTAACAATTATAAATGATAGAATTTTGTTTTCCCAAAATGTTTATCATATTTATTCCAAAAGCAAATAAAAAAAAAAAATTTATATATATATATGTTTCACATACACAGATTGTCAGGGCAGTCTGCCCTGACGATCTGCATAGGTGAAACAATAACAAAAATGATAAAGAAACATGAAAAATTTAATCATGACATTTTTTTTATTTGATAAAGACTTTAAAATCTTTTTCATTGTGAACAATTGCAATACAATAATATTCTTTATATAGAAACTGAGTGCAATTCTTAAAAGTGTGATAAAAATGATTGAATGATTAATGAGAATATTTCTCTATAAAATTATTCAAAATGATTTAACCAAAATGCTTAAATCAAAGTTGTGACTTTTTTTAATCTACAGTAAAAAGTTAATTTGTTTTGCATTTATTCAATTTTAAAATTTTAATATTTTACTTTAACATTTTTTTTTTAACAACCTTTACTACCAACATCAAAATCAAATGATTAAAAATCGAATAGAACAAAATAAATATGTATTTCCTAAACAGTTTACTGGAGTTTTTATTAGGTTGCTAACAATTATAAAAGATAAATTTTAAAAAAAGTTTGAGGGACAGGATTAAAACTGTTTATAAGATGGTCCCCCGGGACAAAACTGTTTATCAGATGGTCCCCTGGGACAAAACTGTTTATCAGATGGTCCCCTGGGACAAAACTGTTTATCAGATGGTCCCCTGGGAGAAAATTGTTTATCTGATGAAACTATTGGTTTTGAATCTCATTGGAATAACAAAAGATCCTTCCAAAAGTTAAGCAAAGTATTAAGAAATGGGAAATTGTCAGAAACAAAGAAAAGCATACTGAACTGTTACATAATATCAATCTTCCTATATGGCAGCAAATGATGAACAATCTCCTCAAAGATGAATTAAGAGACTTGAAGCAACAAAAATGTGGTTCTACAGAAGGATGCTGAGAATACCATGGACTGAACATGTTAATAACAACAAAGATTTAATGAAAATGGAAACAAAAAACACACTTCAAAAACAAAAAGGCACTTAGAATCAGAATGAGAAATTTCAAGGCTAAATAATGAAGAAAGAAGGCTTAGAAAATTTAACACTCACAGAATATATTGAAGGTAAGAGGGACAGAGAAAAGCAGCAAATAAACTACCTAACAAGCTTGTGTAAATGGTTGGCAGAACAGGGACTAGGAGATAGCAAAAAGATGAATATTTGCTAAGAGAGCAGTAAGTAGTGGAGAACCAAAATCAACCACAACCTGAAGGGACATGGCTCATAAAAGAAGAATGAAATCATAGTTGAAAGACTGAAATTTAGATATTTGTATTACTTATCACCATTTATTCTTCAAGTGACTGGAATTTCAAACTCTTTATTTCATCCACTGGGGTAGGTTATTCTAGTTTCACATGCCATGCCTCTTCCAAATGTTATTTCCGTTTACCTCAAGTCTCCTAGTTTTGGCTCACCACTGACGTGGCCTGGTACTGAACTCACAACTCTTTTTGGTCTAGTCATTGGATCTAATCAACAACTTTATCCACTGGGCCATGTGTCCTTGATGTACAAAACGAAATGAAAATGAGATTAACAGTTTGAATAATGTAAATAATGCAAGTAATCATCATACTACATCTCAGAGATACCACATCTCAGGGATATAGACAGATACTGAAAAATTGTTTTAACAGAAAGATTTTATAAATTTCAATCAACAGTAGCATTGGCTGCTCAGTTAATGAATGCCAAAGGTTTCCTAATAAAGAAACAGCTAATTTTCTTTTAATCATTTCACCCTAAGTAAGGCAATAAAGCCTCTAAGACACAAGGGGTTACTGAGTGTGAAAGAATATGAGAAAAAGAAAATATTATTCAAAAGAGAGAACAATGAAAAAAAAAAAAACAATCAAGAAGATAGAAGATAACGATTGACACTGCATCAAATCTGACTGGAATGTAAGTAGACGGAAGAGAGTTCTACAAGCGAGATATGCAAAAGAAGCAGTATATTTAAAGAAGACCGAGAGAGGTGCTTCCACCATGTAAAATCTGAAGCTGCCCCACTCAGCTTTCGTGTACTGAAAAATAATTCTATGGCACATCAGGAAATGCTTTTGGTTTGACATCAACTTTGAGAACTGACTAGTGAATGATCTGAAGTACTCACTGGGGTAAAACTTCAGCAAAGCATTTTTCAGGACAGGATGTGAAGAAGAGATCAAAGAGGTTCACCTGAGGTCCTGTTGCATCAGAAACATTAGTGGGTTCCTCAATCATCTGTGTTTAATTTGTAGGCAACAGAGAAGTCTTGTATCTTCCTTCTTCATCAGTTTTGTTAATGAATGGACTAACCACTCTTTATTATGAATACAGAAAAACACTACAAATAGCGAAGGAAACAGAGATATTCAATGAGGATATTATCAATCATTTCAGATTTTTTGTCAAAGGATGAAATAAGGTGAAAATGAAAATGTTACTGTGGATAAGTGCCATGTAGAAGAACATATATAAGAAATCATTGTCTTTGATTTTTGGGTATCTGCCACATGGAAACGCATTCTTAATATAGGTGCAGACTCCGTGGTTATTTTGATGGTTATGTTTAGTTATTAGGGGTGAGTAGCAATGTATTACAAGTTCATGCGCTAAGATAGCAGTATCAATACCATTTTCAGACAGGAATAGGTCAGGTTTGGTATCACTCCTGGAAGGTTGTAACGTCGACCCCTCACATTGGTATAGGAGAGGGTGAACCTAAGGTCTACTTCTGTTTTTGTGAGGTTGGATTTGAGTTTATTTGTTTTTTTCATTTTAGTTGTGGTCATGTTTAGAAATCTGTGTTCAGTAGACAACTAGAAAGTGAGAGAGTCACACGAACATGAGTTACATGCATCAGCCACCTCAACCACCTAGATTGAACTGTCCAGAGGTACAGACATAGCAGTATCCTTCATCATGTTTTTCGAGAGGTCCCACCAGAGACTAATACACAGTTGAGAACCCATTCACAAAATGGCAGTACCATATCCCCGATATTCTACACCTGCTCATAGGATAGTCTCCTTTGAAGTTAGTCATAGGTTCAGACTCATATCAGAAAGAAAACACCAAACCCCAGAAAACAATTACCTCCAGTATCCTTAATGAAGAGAAAAATAATCGACCTTCTTGTGCCGAAGACAACACTTACCAATTGTGGGCAATTACAAATTCTTCTGAGAGGAGAAGGGCAGGCAGCAAAATATACGTTTCCTAGCCTCTAAATCATACTTCTGAAGTTAGTTTCTTTGCATAAATTTTATAGAAGTACAAATAAAAATTAAATGATCATTTTAAGATTCCTAGTCTTCCAAATGATTTGAATAATGGTAATAATAAAATACACACAGAGACAGAACAATCAAAGCTCATCACCCAGGTGTCATGATCAAAGACCAGAAAAACAGAACGTGCTTTCGTATTCACATGCCATTCTTTGCAGACTGCAATGTATCTTGACATCTTTAACAAAATATTGTAATAACAATCCTAAGTATGAATGCAGATCATTATTTAAAGAAGTAAGAGGATACAAATGAAAAGATTTGACAAATTATTTTCATTTCACTGAAGCAGACACTAAACACATGAAAACATTATCATCTTCTCTTTTTCTCATAGAAACCAAACAGCATCCATGTTTCCTCAGAATCAAAATAGAACAGTCCATTATTTATGATGTATTGATAAAGTGCAATGCTAACTAAGGAACAACCAGAATAATAATAATAATAATAGAACAAATGGCATTTTCTATTTCTTTCAAACATGCCTTAATTAGAAGCGTGCATGACACATCAGAGATGAAGTGTCAAAATGGGTTCAATTTCATATTTCATCATCACATTTTTTAGTCCTATCATCAAAACTATTCTTGTGGAAAAATAAAAGATAAAACTTAAAGCAAAAACTGTAAAGTCATTGTATACTGATAAGAGGAATGCAAATATTTGGCTGTGATTAAATCAGATTGAAATTCAGTTAACAATGAATTATTTTCATTTTTCTTTGCTGTCAATATTTCAGGCTTCATCATTTTGTGATAATGACAGGTTATGAATGTCAATAAATAATTGGGATGCATTTCTATAATAAAAATCATTTCCAATGAAGTTTACATACTTTTAGTATTTGCTGTGTCAGTCTATATGTAATCATTTTGAATGAAGGTTTTGATTGATTTCTTCAATAAATAATTCGGATGCATTTCTATAATAAAAATCATTTCCAATGAGTTTCTATATGTACCTTTAGTATGTCAGTCTATATGTAATCATTTGATGAATGAAGGTTTTGATTGATTTCTTCAATAAATAATTCGGATGCATTTCTATAATAAAAATCATTTCCAATGAGTTTCTATATGTACCTTTATATTTGCTGTGTCAGTCTATAGTAATCATTTTTGAATGAAGGTTTGATTGATTTCTTCAATAAATAATTCGGATCATTTATAATAAAAAAAATCATTTCCAATGAACTTCTATACATACTTTTAGTATTTTGTCAGTCTATATGTAATCATTTGAGTGAATGAAGGTTTTGATTGATTTCTTCAATAAATAATTCGGATGCATTTCTATAATAAAAATCATTTCCAATGAGTTTCTATATGTACCTTTAGTATTTGCTGTGTCAGTCTATATGTAATCATTTGAGTGAATGAAGGTTTTGATTGATTTCTTCAATAAATAATTTGGGTGCATTTCTATAATAAAAATCATTTCCAATGAGTTTCTACTTTTAGTATTTGTTGTATCAAAAAATAATTACATGTGGATGAAAGATGTGACACCATGGATTGTATAAACAACCACCTCCAAAATATTAGTCAGAGAAAATAAAAAGTTGGAGAGATAATATATATACTGTAAGTATGTCTGTATTACTTTTTGTAACAACTGTCCCTTGTCATGTTTAAATAACTGTGTTCTTTTTCATGACAATAAGGAATGAAAATATTACAAGGTCATTTTAAAAACATGGTCATGTGATTACTTTAGAAAAAATTAAGTTTGTTATTTAAATAACCTAAATCCTTGATTGTAATTAAATGCATTAACAATGAAGCCTGGAGGTTTCTGCATTATACAAAGAAAGTGAATTTATACATTTTCTTTGTTCTTAAGAAATATCAACAAAAATATGAAAGACTATATATTTATTAGATCATTTACAAGAATAATTTTATGCTAACATCTGCAGAATTCCTTTGCACATTAATCTATCATTAACTAACCTCAAGGCCCTCACATTAACTGGAAACTTTTTTAGTGTGGTTTTCTGGATGGTGGAGTCTATCCACTTTCCCAAAAAGTGGATATTTGGTACTATGGCGACCATGAAATTCTATACACATACACTTCATTTGGCCAGAGAGACTTAAACCTTGTCTCTCCTTCACCAAAGCCAGCAAGACAAAAATTACTCCTGCTTTAATATTTGCCCTATCAATCCATCAGAAAACTTCACCTGTCTTAATGTACATTGGTAATTTTAATTAATTTTCTGAATTTTTGTTTCTTTCATTCATATTACTATGTGCATTCAACTTACTTTCTAGTATTTTCCTTTTTTTTCTCTCTCTCTTTGTTTTAAACTTTATTAATATTTCCCACAGTAGGTGTGTGTATGTATATATATATATATATATAATTTTTATAGTGATTTCTAATTTAATCTTAAGTTTAATGCACTAATAATTTGTACTTATACCAGAGCATGTTGTGATGTTATTTTAATTACCATATACTTGCATTCTGATTGGTCATCATAGGTTAGATTATGAAGTTTCCCCTGCTGAGAGGGTTTGGTTGATTTTTGAACTCATAAAATCATTTATTTTTCATTCAATATCACTTGATAAGACATCAGTGTTGAAACAAAATTACAACTTTTGTAGTGATTTTATAACATGTATATGTTATAATTTTGTATATATATATATATATATATATATATATAGAGTACAGGTAATCAATATGTTGATATATAATCTGGGTGGATCCTAGTAATATTAATTATTAAAACAGATCCACATAGAGCTCAATGTATTTATTTTAACAAAGCATATGTATTTTTTACAGCAATGGATGATATTATGTTGAGGCAATTTTTATTGTTTTTGCTGTAAAATATATAAATTAGCTGATTTAAAATATGGTTTCTTCACTACACAGTAATAACTATGTTTCAAAAAACGAAGCTAAAAACTTCAAATTTAATTATATAATTAAATTAAAAGCATTAGTTCTGTTTCATCTTCAAGCAAATGGAATAACTTATTTTTAAATGCACATATAATTCATAATTTGTTTCCAAGGATACAGAGAAATCCAATCATTTAGACAGGGGTGGTAGCATGTTCATTTTTATTAACTATTGTTGTACCAATTATGAGTTATGTTCGAAAAAGAGGTTAAGCTTAGGAAGGATAGGGGTGCATTTTTCAACAAATTTTGACATCTGTTAAATGCATGTCATCTGGGTTTTTTATTATTAACAACAAAAAATTTTTCGGCATTTTTTTTTGTAAAAATAAAAAATATCAATAAGAGCACCGGATTATATATCTTACTGTTCTTTCTTTTTATTATATATATATATATATATATATATATATGCATGCATGCTAGCATCTGTACAATTTACTTGCACATTAATTTATTGTTAACTAACCTCGAAGGCCCTACATTTAACAGTTCTTCTAGTATGGTTAACTGGATGGTGGAGTCTATCCACTTTGCCAAAAAGTGGATATTTGGCAATATGGCATAGCTGTAGCAGTCAATGCAGGCATCCCCCAGGAGTCACTCCTCAGACCAACCCTCATTTTGATCTACATAAATGATTTGCTTAAGAATATACTCAGATCATTTGTAAACGTATACAGCCACACTTCTAAAACTCTTAATGGTCAGTGATTGGCAACTGATCACCCTTCCAATCTAGCACAAACTACCCAATAGGATAAAACTGGCATGTTACATTCAATGCCTCGAAGACCATGCTAGATACATTTCCATCATCGCTGATCTGACCCCAAACTACCACCAATCAAGATGAACAGAGGTCCTCTTGGGGAAGCACCATGCCTTAAAAGACTGTTGGGTCTCAAACTCACACTCGACCTCAAGTGGAACTCAGACATACAATCCATTACTAAGGATGCAAGTAAAATGGTCAGCTCCCTGTACCATTCCAGTAAGAACATGATTCCTCCTGTTATCAGCTACAAGAGCTAGATCATGCCAAACTTGTTGACATATTTGGGGTTGGGAGCTGCCCAGACCTCACTCTCCGGCCTTGATTTTTGAGTTTAAAAGTATCCCTCAGCCCTAGTGGTAATTATTCTCCACTCTTCAACCTCTCACCCAGAGGCGGGATGTGGCAAGCCCCTCGCTACTCTACTGCTACTTCCATGAAAAGTGCTCAGATAAACTATATTCCCTGATACCACTGTAAGAGTTCTTGGATTGCAAAGGAAAATATTTGTTGCAGATTACTTCCACAATGCAGAGAACTGATCACTGTAAGTTCAAACTAGAATATCAGGGGCAGAAAGAAATTTCAAAATATTGATTTGCAGGTATCATGACACAAATCAATATGCACATAACCAGTCAAAAAAATAACTCACTCACCAACGAATGCAGTAGCCAAAATACACAATTTTATCTTTCATCCCCAATTTGAGAACACCAACTGCTTTTATCGACCAAGCATATTTTTTTTTCATTCGTTGACAACTGGAAGAGGATGCACAATATTAGCATATCAAAATACTTTTATGGTGACTCCTGTGACTGACTTTTTTCTAATTTCAATATTCTGTCTTCAATATATCATGCAGAATACATGCCCTTTTTTTTGCACCACATTTTCCATTGTAGAATACACACAACACGCTGTTGTCACTTGGTTCGACAAGGTAATTTGCTGTTTTCTTCACTATACCTACCAAAGCAAACCTTCTCAGTAAAAACACGCCATGCCACTTCCATAGTATCAAATCACCCACATTCCCTCCGTATTCCATTGGTGAAAAGTAAGTTTCACTCGAGCAGATTCTTCCTGCAAACCACTGCCTTGTGGAACTGACTCCCAACAGGAGGTTTCCTCAATCGCTGCCTGTTCAAGGTTAAGGTTAACCATTATCTTCCACTCCTATACACACAAATGGACTCCTTATGTTACTCTCTATCTAGAGTGGCCCCCAAGCCTTGTAAAGGGTGAACCTTACTGTAAAAAAAAAAAAAAAATTTGCAACATTCTAACAAAAACTAATACAAGTCAGTATTTATCATTTACCAATTTAAAAAGAATCAAATACAATTTTTTTATTCATAAATTTATAGAAATTTACTAAATTATAAAAATATGTGAATCAACTATAATGAAATCCTTATTATTCACCATTTTATAAAGTTTGAATCAATTGACAATTCACCAATGTTTTGCTAACCATTCCAAAGAATAGAATTAATTATCCTTGCCAGTTGCTTTTCAAAAAAAAAAAAAAAAAAAAAAAAAAAAGTAGAAAATGATGTAATCTATAATTGCTGGATTTGCAGGCCTTGTATTTCTATGGATTAGGGATCCTTGATCCGAGATCACAATTATTTAAAAAAAAGAATTGGAAAATTAAAATAAAAGAGATATAATTTGAAAAGAAAATGTAAAATGTCTGGAAAAATGATATTCATTTAAATTTTCTCATTCTGTCCTTCATAAATAAATAGTAAATAATACATATTGTATTTGGTTCACATATTTTGAAAATATTTCTGGGGAATGAAGGTAGTTAAAATAATAGTGGTGTCAAGGGAAAAACCATCCCTTTTCACACACCATTTGTTTTTGTAAGCAATATAGCAGTAACTCTAATAAAGTGTAATATAGCAACAACACTAAGTCAAAATGAATGAAGTTTTATTTGTTTAATTCCGCTTTAGTGATGAAAATGTTTATTTTATTATAACGGATGGTTACAAACAAGAGAGAAGATGGGACATGCTTATTTTATTACCACATAAGGTTAAACATTGCCAGATTTGCTTTGTGAAATTCTAAGTCATAGTAGTTTCATTATTCCAAACATTATTTAAACAGTTATCTTTATCCTTGTTGTTTTTAGCACAACATTTTGGCTGTTATAATCTCCAGTTTTCTTGTATTATTGCCTACAGTCAAATCACCTTCTAAACACCGGTCCTCGTTTGATCACCAGAGTTAAGCAGCGTTTTGCCTGGTCAGTACTTAAATGGGGAGACAGCTTGGGGAATACCAGGTGCTGTAAGCAACTTCCTACAATCCAAAATATGTATCAGCTTTAAATAACTCACAAAGGGTTGATAAGCCATAAAAAACAACAAATCAATCAATTCTAGTATGATGATAGCCAATTATACAATAGATCATCATTATATGCTATATCCCTTCAGGACATGGATGGTCATATCTCTCCATAGGTTCCTATCCTTTTCAAATCAAAGAAATGTTTGACTTTATTGTCTCCATTTGATCCCAGTTCTATCATCCATTCACAGATACACAATGTCAAATTCTCCAACCCCCTCCTTCCTTTGATTTCTAAAAAAAAACTTTTTATTTTTTATTTTTTAACAATGATATTTACTCTGTTAATAGACCATTGTAGAAAAGAGTTAGTGTGGCTTCTGCATTCGGAACTACCCTATGATTACAAAAACCAAAGGGAGGATGATGATGATTCATCCTGTAAAAGGCCCGGGAGCCACTCACAGTAGAAGGTTACAAAGTAAGAGGCATAGTTTTTATGGATATGTGAGGAAGACAGTGGTTAACTATAGACTTGAACAGATTAAGATTGCAAGAAAGAATCCTTTTCGAGTCAGTTTCGCAAAGCACCAGTTCTCGCTCAAGTGGAACTTACATCTCGCCAATGGAATATGAAGAGAATGAGCGTGGTTCACTACAATGGGCATGACAGAGTGAGTCTTAGCTGTAGGGGTTATAACTGGCAAAACTAAGGAATGTAGTTCATCTGAGCACTTTCCATAGAAATAGTGATAGAGCAGTAAGAGGTTGGCGATATTTTGTCTGTGAGAGAGAAAGAGGTTGTAGGGTGGAAAATAATTTGTCACCCATAAGGACTATCGTGACTGGAAAGTAAAGACTGGGCAGTTTCTATGTCTGGTATCTCGGTTTCAGTCACTTTCCCACCATCATAATATGTACCTTCCCTGTGCTTTTTCTACAAATCTTTTCATGGTAATTGTTCTGATGAGCTTTCCTCTTTGGTACCTGGACGAATTTAAACGCTGTATTAGACTGGCAGGTAGGTCTCATCAATGAACATTTGAAATAGCTAGATGTAACCTTAAGTTCTATGCTAACAGTTTCTTCTCTTGCACTTCTTGCTTGTGAAACTCTCTTCCAGCTTCTTGCTTTCCCTTCAATTTTGATTGTCTAAAAAAAAAAAAAATTTAAATGCAATGTCATCTTCTGTCTCCTTGAAACTTATTTATTGTCCTCTCTTAATTTTTTTTTTCTCAGATTCTTTCACATTCAGTAACCCCTCAAGTCTTAGTGACTTTATCACCTTGCTTAGGGTAAAAGGATTTTACTTTGCATAATTCCTGGAAGGTCTCTCACTATTCCAATGCTTCTTTGGATCTCTGGATTTGGATTACAGCCACATCATGTTAAAACACTGGTTCCCATACAATCAACAATGCTAAGCCATGTCAAACCTGGTCAGTATCTAGATGGGTAACCATTTGGGAACATCAGGTTCTGTATGCTTGGATGTGTAGGTGGTGTAATGGATAATGGCTCAGAAATGTTAATTGGAGAGCTGAGTTCCAATCCCAGTTGGGTTCATTATATTCACTCACATGCAAATATCCTGGTATTGTAAATCACATTAATTACCCTAGCTTATCACTTCCTGACTTGAGACTTGAAGAGAGTCTGTCTCTGCTTGTTGATTTTTTATATATATATATATATATATATTATATATATATATATATATATATATATATATATATAAATAAATGAACATTGAAGTTTGTTTCATGCCAAATGCAATCATCAGGCCACAATGACTGCGTTTAGCATGAAACAGAGTATCACCTCTGGGTGTTGACTTCATTTGTATTTATAAACACTATCCCTGATATTAAGCACTTTAACCCATAAATATAGCATATCTTAAATTATATATATATATATATATATATATATGAGAGACACACTTACATACGTGCTTACATATACATCCATCCAAGCATATACCTGTATTAGAACCCTTTTTATTTTTCATACTTGTACATACTCCTCAATATATATTTGCACATATACATAGCATAGAGGTTATATATATATATATATATATATAGTAAAAAGGCAAAATGGAAAAGGTTTATTTGTGACACATTTCATTCATTAGGACTTCATTGGACTTGGTTTGTTGACAGTGTTCTGACTACACATGCGCCTAAACAAGAGATGCTGGTAGTTTCAAAATTTTTTTGAAATAATTTTTGTCCTTCAATATCTGTCTATATCTCTGAGATGAGGTATTATGATTACTTATTTGAGCTCACTTGGACCTCTTCCTGGTGTAGCCAGAGTATGAAGGTGTCATCTACGTATCTCAGTAGTAGGGTTGGCTTTAGTAATGTAAATTCTAATGCCATTTCCTCAAAGTATCCTATATATAGGTTTGCCATTGCTGGTGATAATGGTGATCCCATTGCTAAGCCTTCATCCTGCTGATATTATGTCTGATCCCATTCCAAAGTGAGTTGTTTGAGTACAGAAAGTCAGCATCTCCATCAGGTTATCTATTGTTATACTGGTCCATTCTCCTAGGGATGAGTCCAAGGCCAGTCTGTTCCTGACTACAGAGAGTGCCTCCACCATTGGTACCTATGCTCACTATCTGGATGGATTGGATGAGAGCATTTTTGATTATTTCCACAAAGTGGGTGGAGTTTCATAGTTTTTGCAATCTAGCCAAATTCATCTATATTCTTTTTCAATATAGATGAATTTGGCTAGATTGCAAAAATTATCTCAAAAAAATTTTGAAACTACCAGCATCTTTCATTTATGCACATATGTAGTCACATCATCAACAAACCCAATCAAATGAAATCCTAATGGATGAAATGTGTCACAAATAAACATTTTCATGACATCCATAAGAGGCTATTTAAAATCTTGACTTGAGTTCATAGGTCATACTATTTAAACCAGTGATTCTTAACTGCCATGTGCCACAAAATAATGTCATGACATACATGTGTATGGAAGTTGCATTGGTACAGCATTAGTATTTGAAAAAATGAATAAGTATTAGACTTTTTTTTCAAACAATTCTTTTCAATTATGTTATTTTAAACATTCGACAGTACCCACTGATACATTTTGGAATTCAATACAAAAGGAATCTCCCACATTAGCTAAAAAGGCTTTGTCAGTTTTATTGCAATTTTCTACTTCTTATTTATGGGAATTGGTGAGAAAGACTATGCTCAACTGAAGACAAAATGAGTGCTTATCACACATTTGATAAAACATTGAAATCAAAAAAAAAAAAAAAAAAAAAAAAAAAAAAACACCCCAGGCACAGGTTTCACATTAAATAGGCTGCACAAATAATTGAATAGAAACATTGAAATAAAGCAAGTTCATATTTATGTGTGTATTTTTTTAAATCTATGATTTTATTTCATAACATTTACATGTATACCCTTTAAAAATTTTAAGTGTTCAATGATATTTTCATTTGCTTTTAGGTGGGCTGTTGCTTAAAAAGGTTGAGAAATACTGTTCTAAACTGTAATTTTGTTAAAATAAACACTAAAAATATATGAATTTAAAATAATCAATTTCTTTCTAAGAAACAGGAAAATATTAAATTTATCAGTCAAGTACTTGGAGCAGAGTTTATATGGAGACATTCATTATTTTATAATTAAACTTAGCTTTCTTTTGAAATATGAATGTACATAATAAAACTAATAATAATAAAAGTAAGTTTTGAGTCCAACATAAATTCATATTAGTTTCATTGCATCTTCTGACAGTCGACAAAAAAGAGATACAAAAACTAAGTAAATGTTTACAGACACAAATATAAACAACCTATTTTTACTTCTTCCTAAACCAAATAAATGCATGCAAATACAAATATAACAAAAAAGAATTTTAAAAAATGCTGATTTCAATATTAAATAACTTAACACAAGGGTGGATATGTTGTGAAATTGTGAGAATTGGTTGTAAGCACACACAAAAAAAATATATATAATATATATATACAAGTCCAGTGGGCAAAACAGTATTACACAGTCCAATAGGCAAATCAATTCCACAAATGCTGACTATCTCTGTTCCTCAATCTCAGATAAGCAATTCGTCTTGCCAAAAACAAAATCTCCTTTCAATGAGCGTACCATGATTTTATGCACCTGGCCAGACATTGCTCAGCCAATGAGCACCCAAAACCATCCAATAAAAATGGCTGCAAGTAACACCACCACTTCTGTCCACCCAAAGTGCTGCCCAATTCACCTTCAGTCCAAAGCTCACCAATTCGTCTCCACACTCCATTGCATAACATACACAGAACTCTGGCCCTTTTGGTGCCGAGGTAAGTCTCCGCTACAGAAATTGACCAACCAAACACAACTTAGACTAGTTTAAAGGGAAAAGATGTTTAATTGCCAAAAGATGGATAACCCATATCTGACATGTTTCAAGCCATCATTTTTCCTCCCTGCAAAATGGGCTAATTGCCAATTTCTTGCTGGTTACAACAAAACAGACTATTAAGATATGAAGCTAAGCGTGACAAAACACTGAACTAGACCCAGATTTGCAAAAAAAAAAAAAAAAAAAAATCCTGAGATATGTGCTTGGAAATAAATATCAAAACAAACTTGACAAAGTTTTTAGCAAATTTATGCATCCATACGAATAAATAATACCTTCTTTCACTTTGTCGACAAAATAAAGCATTCCTCCTTAGACTGCTTTAAGGAAGAGGAAGTTTACTTGCCAAAATTTAAGGGTAAGAATGATGTCCAAATTGCCATTTAAGGTGGGGTGGGTGTTAAAGAGATCTACCAGTTGTGTCTAGGTCAGAGTTCAAACCCAGCTAAAAAGCCAATGTATATTTTCAAGATAAACACACAGGCTCTCTTCACCTAGAAGATTTGGCTTTGTACCATTCTGATATTTCAAAGAATATTTTCTGTAACTTGCAGGAGCTGCCTAGCCTTCACTATCCAGTCTCAATATAGTC